TACCTGTGTTAACAGTGGCATGAGTGTTACCTGTTTGGGGAGCATCCTATTCGTCAGTGGTTGTTATGATATCTACGTGTGTAGTATCTTCGTTCTCCCTTTGGACGGGTTTATCGAGTATGTTGTTCAGAGTGCTTGTTAGCCACTCTTCCAGTGGTCTTTTTATTGCTGNGAGGCAAAGCACTCCGCCTGGGTGTAGCATTCGGTGTCGCGTTTTCATCGTTTTCCCTACCATCTTCGTTGATTGTGTTCAAGATGTTGGTAGTGACACATGCTATCGTTTTCAACCTCGCATCTCCTTTTCCTGCCATTATTAGTGGTGCAAACGAGGAAGAGATGTTTTTTTTATGATCCAAAAAAAAACTATAGTTTCAACTAGAAAACTCCCCACAGACGACGCCAAATTATTTCAGCAAATAAATGCTAAACTAATTAGTAACAAATTAATGGAGTGAATCTCAGTTGAACTTAATAATTTCTAGATCAAATGTAACGAGATTGTAATATAATGAGAACAGTTTAGGAGCCCGTTAAATGATATGTTCAATGTGTTATGATTGACAAAATATATAATATCCTAAAAATGCCATGAATGCAAGAAATGACAATGGTTATAGTATAAATGGACTGTCACCCAATGAGTGTGTGATTGGGTGCCTCCTCTTTCTGATGACGTGAAATGATATGCAACCGATATGAATGTGGAATCTTCAGATTTATGGATGAAAGTTAAACAACATATACTTGAGTAAAGCGAATAAGACAATTCTTTCGTATATTCCTCTCTTTTTTTACAATGTGTTCTCTCTTCTTTGAAATGGCAGACCCCCTCCTTGTTCACTATCTCCTCCTATTTATAAGGGACATTTCCCAAAAAATCCTAAAAAGTACATCATAAGGAATATCCAAAAGGCATATTCTTCATGTCTCTTCCTAAGTTTAAACTACCGTTGCTATCTTATTTCAGCTGCCCGCTTTTGATCGTCGTCCTTTGTCACAACGACCTTTAGTCGCTGTGTTGTGGTGACCCCGTCCCATGTCTTGCTTATCCATTATCGTGGTTGCCAAATTTGGACCTATACAACTTTGCTTTGAAAAATTGGGTAAATAAAATAATAAATAAAATGGCAAACTGTTAAAATAAATAAACGTAAGAAAAGGAACTAGCATGCAGCTAATATAACGGAACTAACATACATATATGCAGTGAAAATGACATTGTAACTTATAAACCGTTATAACTGAGATGTCATAATCATGTAACTAAAATTGCTTAAATCAAAGAAAATGAACGTATTACTTAAGATATAAATAAAGAATCTGTTTGGATCATGGGCATAAACTTAATTCTTTTTTTATTCTTTCTTTGTATTCGTGAATTGCAAGTTTGGGAAATTGTAAGTTTATGTAACCAACTTTAATGTTATGGAAAAATCAATTAATGAAAATGAAACTGAAAGTTACTTGATAGACGTACTATCGTGCATGGCTTTTCATTTCATTATTTGATTGGTAGGTTATTAAATGAATTTGAATTTCTGATTATTTGTGAAATAAAAACTTAATTGAGCTAACTTTAATTTGTGCACTAATAATTTAAAATAATTTCTATAGGGACAAGTAATACATGTAATTGTCAATAAAAGTACAAGTTATTAATTGCAACACGTTAAAATATATTTATAATGTAAAAATCGATAGACGAAAATGAAGTCAAAAGCTAGTCAAGAGACGTACTACCGTGCATGGCTTTTCAATTAATTCTTCGTTTGGTAGGTAAAACGAATCTTGGATTTCTCATTTTGCAATATAAAGTTATAAACTATAGTTGGATTAAGACTTCTCAAGACAATTTTCACTGGTGATTTTACGGTGGATAAAGTTTAATTATATTAATATACTAAATATTTTTTTTTATAATTTAAATTATTAAAATAAATAAAATTTAATAATTATACGTGAAATTGAAATAATAGCATTTGACGGAGCTTGTCGAGGTGGGTGGTCATGGTCTAGACGGATCTTCATTTCCCTATTTCTTTATTAATTATATGAAAAACTTAATAAACCTTTTTCCCTTTGGGGTGAGAAAAAAGATAGAGGAGAAGAGGGAGATTGATTTAGGGTTTTTCTTATACACCATATTGGAAAAAAAATTAAACATACCTTATCTCAATCTTATGTCAATTTATTTCTTCAAATCACATCAGAACATTGACTAATTAATTATTCCATAAATGTATAATCACATTTGAAAGTGAAGTTTACTTTGCCTTGTGTGTTTTTAATCTCTGTGCCAATTTTAAACCTAAAAACTAGCTAGAAAGCAATAGGTGGAAGAAACAAAAATGCAGGTGGCTATTCGGTGCGAATAAGTTTTTACCCGATAATATATAGTGTATAACAAAGTGGCAACCCCGTGAGAATAAATTAGTTTCCTAACTTATTATTATGGTTATTTAATAGAATAAACCATAATAATAGTGTATAACAATGTGGCAAACCTCTGAGATAAATTAGTTTTCTAATTTATTATATGGTTATATAATAGAATAAACCATAAAACGTACTGTAAAATATAAATGAAGAAACAATAATTAAAATCACTTTCCAATCGTCAAAAAGATCGAATTCATGACTAGCTTCACTTCCTTCTCTCATTTTAAACTTATATACATGAACAGTCAAATATTTCTATACTATTAGGATACTTTAATTTGTTGTAGTAGATTTTTTGACTTATTTTTTATTAGAGTAATTTTATTTGTTATGGGCAATTATCTATTACTAATTATAATTATCTTATAAATGAGGTATATCATATACAAAATTATTTTATACTATTTAAAGAAGTTAAACTACTTTTTTGAAGAAAAAACATATCCTCCCTTTTTACTCGATTAGCAATTTCTAATTGTGCCAAAAAGCTGACCTCATTCCAATGCATAATTTACGTAATCAAACAATCTTGTCAAAAAGATATTCATAAACCTTCCAGACAAATACCTATATTAAAGTCAGATCAGTTAGTTATGGAATGTCATAAATCTTGAGGTGAAATGATTTAGTGAAGCACTTACTTTCATTCTGTAGCTAATTACCTTTTAACTACACAGAAATCACTTTAATTTGCCTCCTAACCTAAACTGACAAAACAATATTTATCTTAGAGACTTTTCTTGTAAAGACACCTCTCTCACCTGCAAACCCAACATGCATGGAAATGGATACATTACTGAAAATGTATCGGGCAAATATCACTTTTAATCCGTGGCCAAAATTCTTTATATTTGTTAGCCGTAAAAGTATATATATTTGTAAATTTTTTGTATATATCATAAAAAAAATGCATATATATATACAACAACAATAACGACCCAGTAAAATTTCGAAAGTGGGATCTGGAGAGGGTAGTGTGTACGTAGACCTTACCCCTATCTCGAAGTAGTAGAGAGGATGTTTCCAGAAGACCATCGGCTCAAGAAGACGAAAAAGACGAGAAGAGAAGGGAAGAGACAATATATTAGTACCATCAAACAAAAACCAAAGAAATAATATTAGCATCATATATATACAAAATATACAAATTTTATATATTTTTCTGCTATTATTTTACGGCGACGACTATACAGTGTCTTTTTCCAAATGTATTCGCACTAAAGGACCGTTTGGTTCGAGGTGGAATATCCAGGGATTAACAGTCGCATGATTGTTATCCCGCCTCAATATGAGATAGTTAATACCAAGATCTTTTGGTGTAAAATTTATAGCGGTATTAGCCAATATCCATAACTAAACATGAGCTAAATGCAATCTCAAATTTTATTCTGAATCCTAATACCGATAACCAAACAACCCCTAAAGGTTTAGGCATATCATAAAAAGAAATTACATAATAATTTTTTTTTTATCTCTGGAATTTGAACCTTAGTCTCCATCACTTTCACTTGTTCAAATATTGAAATTATTCCCATTTTTTATTCCAACTTTTTCTTGGATATCTAGCACCGGTTAAAAGATAATCTCAAATCTCACCTTCTATTTCTGTTACTATTGTTTCTAGGTTATCTTTATTACCCTAGCCATAATTTCATTTTGAACTGATTAACTTCCCTATTGAAAATGACTGTGTTGCTACCTTTAGGAGTGACAGTGAAAAGGAAAAAAGCTATCATTGTTCTTTGAATTCTACCATTAAGGTTAAGTAGTAATTAATGTTATGATTGCAAAGTCCTAATGACAATTAACGCAAGCTGACTTTGCACTCTTTTATGTGGAAAATTCCTATTCCAAGTGGACTTATCACCTTAGAGATTAAATCCCATTAAAGGAAAAATTACTTGCGTGTCATATCCATAATCCTTGATTAATATCCATAATCGTTGATTTTTCATAATATTACGCAATGCATGCAAGCACACACATAATATAGACAAATAACTATAGTACACGAGGACGGCTAAGAATATCCATTAAAAAGAGCAGAACGATGAGATTATTTTAAAGCACGAAATAGAACGAAAGGGGATCTAATTATTTATCCATAAGATAGCTTGTTTAATCCACTAATTAAAAACATAATTGCTTACATTTCAAATGGTTTTGTACATAAAAGACTAATAGACAATATCACTAATCTCTACAATATTCATATGTGACTATACATATATCCCTTCAAAAGTATATGGTGATTATTACAAACATCAAATTGAAGTAAAAATGACCAGATTACCCTAATTTCTAATTACATCATATAAAGTATAAGGTAATGCAAAATATCCTATACAAAGAGTTGCATTGCAAGAAATAAAAGTATATATCTACCAGGAAATGATCCTTATTCTCATGAGATTATTTACCCTCTCATCTTCAATTTCCTGTCCAAATTTATCTCAATATATGAGGTTTTATATGAACTATATAGGATTGAATTATGTGGTCTAATACTGAAAGGAAAAAAAGGTCTTGATGTTCATAGGAAAATAAAGGTTTTTCTAGGGTTATTCAATTTGGAAATCAAGAAAAGGGAAAGGTGAAACATCCTTCATTAATTCCTCCAAGTCCCACTCTCCAACTTTTAGATCATCTCCTTCCCAATAATTCCCTATTCCTCCAAAATTCTCTACTTTGATATTACTACTACTATTGAAATGGCTAGTCAAGTTGGTCATATTGTTATTAGGGTTATTGTTTTGGCTCCTCCTTTCAACTATATTCCCAACTTCAACATTTTGATATTCAATACTTACACTCTCCAATGGTGGAACATAGATCTCTCCTTCAATTCCAAGATTTCCTCCAAATATCCCATGATTATTCCCATAGAAAAGACTTCCATTAGTAACATTCCCTCCTTGTGCCATGCATGGTTGTGTAGTCAAGTATGAAGGTGCACCAAATCTACTAGGCATGTTCATTAGACTGTGCTCGAGCGTGGGCAAAGGATCGATAATGGTGTTTAGAGCCATCGAGGAGGAAGAAGACGACGTTGAGTCCATGTACATGGCCATTAGTTTATGCTTTTCCATTGACATGAAACCTTGATTGACTCCCATGTTGAGATCTTTGCATGGTTCTGAGGATGAATCACTTGCATTTGGTGATGGTGTAGAGGAAGATGATGAGTTCTTTAGCCTTTTTTTCAATGTCGAATTCCAGAAATTCTTGATTTCATTATCAGTACGTCCAGGCAAACGTCCAGCTATTTGTGACCATCTTTGAAATAGAGAAAAGTAAATAGGAGTCAACATATAGGTCAAATTATGTAAAAGTGAAAGTGAGACATATAACAATAACAAACTCAGTATATTCTCATAAGTGAGGGTGTGAGGATAGTGTGTACGTAGACCTTACCCTTACCTAGTGAAGATAGAGAGATTGTTTCTAATGAGCCCTCGACTCAGAAGGGTGCATGTAGTTTAATTTTATGATTTGTTTAAATATGTTATTCTTAAGAAAATTGTAAAATGGCAAGTGGAGCAACTTCAACTCTAAGGCCAAGATGTTAAAACCCTTGATTAATATTTATAAAAATCCATCTTTAATTTGCCCTTTTGACTAATAAGAACTAAGTGCTCTTAATTATGTGAAACCACCTAAATGAGAACAGCGCACATGCATGTTTTATAATTATATTTCTTGTTTGTTAATAGTATTAGGATTTAGGATTTTACTTATATAAAAAATAAAAAAAATAAAAAACTACTTCCCCTCCGCTAAATTTGAAGCTAAAAAATTAAATAGATATGTTATCAACTCTATAATCACCAATTAAGTTCTAATCAAATAGTATAACCAACATATATGAAGAAACCTATGATTCTACCTATCTTCCCTTATTTAAATCAACAAATTTTATAATATATAAAATACTCACTTATTAAATGACCAGTTGGCAAGATGTCTATTTTTTCTTTGCTTCTTTCCATTTCCAATTAGACAAAATCTCAAGATATATATTTATCAGAAAAATAAAGAGAGAGATTCATTCGTTAAGTAACACCAAATTCTTGAAAAGAATGTGAACTCCATTAATTGTAAGCAAGTAACCAAAACTACAAACCTCAAATAGATGGAGATTATCAGACTTTAATTTAGAGGATGCTAATGCAATTTTAGAAAACATTAGGAATTATCCAGTGGTAGACCTAATTGTGTGTTTAATTACAAAGAAATTATATTAGGCGCGCAGAATAATTTGGTGAATGTTAACTCATTGAAAACGTATAACTAAAGATATGCATGTCTATAAATCATATTATTAAGCTGTTGAAGTCAATAACATCATGATTAGCTTTATCATGTAGTCATTGAAGATTATCTGGATTTCACTGTGTTGTCCCCTATATACATATATATATATA